ATATTGATGTCATTTGTATCGTAGAACCCCTCATATTTCGGAACTATACTGGGGGTCATCTATTGTAGGTGGAATAATATTAGGTATGTTGCTGTCATGGTAGGCTCAAAAGCTCTTATTACAAATAGAGATAGCCGGAATACAACTGTTTGAGATCAACAAATCCGTATTATCATATCTAATGAATGAAATATTGATTTTTGTTAATTCATTGATAATGAATTACAATACCAAAAATGTATATTTTTAGCCATATCTATCAGACTATCTTGGAGTAGATGATAAAATATGTCACTTTACTAATTTCGATGGCTTATATGGAGTTTGAATGAATTCGATATATTGTTTTATAATCTTTTTTCTTTTATATATTGGTAGTGTATCAAAGCATGCATAACTGATAGATCTATATAATAAATGCACGAAAGAATATAGAATGATAATAATATTATATCTTAAACTATGACACCAATAAATAATCGAAAACTTAAATTAAATATATTTTTGGCAACAAATGCAAACAAAAATATTTTTGGTCTTAAAATATTTATACCAATATGTTGGTCTTAAAATTGTTCTAGAGAAGACAACATTCGATTTTTCTAAAGTCAGCTTCCAATCTAGAGATCCCGCATACAATTTTTTCCTTAACACCCATGTATAGTCACTTTTTACTTAGGTTCACCGTTGCACAGGATTTTTAAATCTGCATCCAACACTTAAAGCGACATAACCGCAAAGAAACTTCAATCTGAAGCTACAATATGGGTTGGGTTGCGCATATGTCTATTTGAATACGACGAAAGTTTTTTTTGTTTCCTAAAATATCAAATAAATCATCATTAATTAATCATCAATAAGTCATCATATATTGCTCACATCTATCATCAATATACTGCTTTTTAAACCGAATGTTCCCAGACGAATATAAAGTTGATCAATTTATTGCAATTTATAAATTCGATAATTCAGCAGATTATGAACACTATACATCCAATACTATAGTGTCAGTTAGTTCATACATTGTCGGAATGTTTAGAATAGTGGATGAATGAAGTACAAAGAAAAAAAAATAGGGCTGATTACCAATGTGTTCATTGATAATTTGGACTCTATGATATGGTCGTACTATTCAGTTGACATAGTAAAATTAATGCGAAAATTGTGCTTTTACAATAGAAGTTTAAATTTCAATCTATATTGTAAAAAAACTGTAGAAAGTTGGTAAATATGCGATAACATGTACTGTTACAAAAAAATCAAAGTAAAAGTTGTGAGTACAATAAATTTATTGTAACTCATATCATGATATAGTTGTAAATTTCATAGCATTTTTCTCAGTGTATATGAAAATCCATAATTCACTCACAATCAGTGAGACTGAATATGATTGATAATTATGACAAGCTTGATTGATAATTTGGCTTGTTAGGTTGGTTGAAGGTGACAATTACTAGGCTGAGAAAAATAAATTCGATTGTGTCAAAAATGAAACACTTTTAAGTAAAGTATGGCAAAATGGTCCAACTAGCATAAAGTGTAGTTACTAATAGAATCAGCTTATGCACTGAATGGTTTAGAGGCCGTTAATTATTTATGTTATAACAGGACATATATTATGATATTAAATCATATCATATGATAGGTCATAAATCACATTATAAGTGTTCATATCATGTCATAAGCGATCATTTCGGTATTATGTTATAGCATGTCTTACAGCATATTTATTATTATAATTGCTGCTGGGCTAAGGGGAGCGGCCCCTCTCGTTACCGCGACCTATAGGTATACAAGATCTATTGTAACTTTAGTCCTCCAAAAGTTTAGGACAAATGTAGGTCTTTGATGAACCTTAGTATTGCCCTGAGGTCTTGAACCTTTATGTCGGTAGGTGTCAAGGGAGTTTTACCAAAAATTTTGTGTCTTAGACGGCCTCTGGCGACGCAATTGCACAGTATATGTGCAACTGTTTCTGACTCGTCGTTGCAAAGTCGACAAGTTTGATCCTCAGCACGTTCAATGTGGAAGAGGTGGTATTTTATGGGCGCATGGCAAGTAACCTGAGAGCGTCCTTAGATCCCCTTTGCTGAGGCATAAAACCTCTTTGGTTTTGTTTTGCGACGGGGTTATCATACTCTTCGCTTGTCAGTGACCTGAAAGTTCTTTCCAGCGTAAGGCTACCTTTGAGACCTCCCAACTGTTGATTATTTGTTTTAGGTGGCTTTTTTGTAGTCCACAACCAGGTTGTGGTTCAATGAAGGTTGCGTGTTCGCTGCTTCTCTGGCCAGCTTGTCCGCCTTTTCATTGCTCTCAATGTTGCTGTGACCTGGAACCCACCATAGGGTAACATCATTGCCCCTAGCGAGTTCTCTTAGGTTGCTAGTACACTCTCTAATCAGTGCGGAGTCACACGTGTAGGCCTGAATTGCCTTTAAGGCGACCCGACTGTCTGTGAAAATGTTTATGGATGCACCTTTCTGTCCCTTCTGTAGGTTCAAAGCGGTGCAGAAGTTTATAGCAAGAACTTCTGCTTGGAAAATTGTTATATCCGAGCTGAGGAGCAGTTTAATGTGGCTATTTGGTCCACTGATGCCCATACCTACTCCGGATCTAACTGTCTTTGAAGCATCGGTGTACCAGGCAAGGGCTCCTCTTTTTAGTTACAGCATATTTACTTACAATTGCACATATGATATTAAATCATATTATGATGATATATTATAAAATACATTGTAAGTGATTGTTTTATTAGAGTAGCTCTCAGTATTACGTTATATCATGTCTTATTAAATATTTACATAGAATTGAACATATATTAAATCACATTATATGACATTATATCATAAGTGATTATTTCGGTATTATGTTATAGCATGTCTTACAGCATATTAATTTACAATTACACATATGACATTAAAATAAATAAATCATAAAAATATAAATCATATTATTAAATAAAAAAATTAAATCATATTATGATATCATATTTGATAGATTATATAACACATTATAAGTGATTGTTTTATTGGCATAACTCTCGGTATTACGTTATATCAGTCTTATTAAATATTTACATAGAATTGGGCATATGAGATTAAATCACATTATATGATAGATCATATCATAATTAATTATTTCATTAGCATAGCTTTCGATAACATATGTTATGTTATATCATATGTTATCGCATATTTACTTAAAAAAGAATATATAATATTAAATCATATCATGTGATAGATCATAAGTCAGATTATAAATGATTGTTTTATTAGCGTAGCTCTCAGTATTCCATGACATCATGTCTTACAGAATATTTACATAGAATAAGATTTTTTATTTCACACATATCAACACTCGCCTATTTTGTGAATATAAAGAATCACAGATCAGTTAAAACTTACTTATATTATCGTGATATATGCATACCCTATAAGTATATCCCTATAAGTATACCTTGACAGACAACTTCACTCACAGTTTAAAAATTCATAAACATCAAACTCATTATAATCAAATTTCAAAGATATTAGCATTAAACATAAATCTCATCATTAAAATTTTAATTTTTTTATTCTTTTTGTGTTAAAATACTATATAGTATTAATGGATTGGTAACCATAAATTAAGGATATTAACACAGGTATTATAGATTACCCATATCTAAAATTTTTTCCAAACAAAAAATATAGAAATATGCATTTTGACACTCAATGGTGACTGAAGATTTATTTTAAGTTATTTTATATCTATATATCCAGTCTTTATTTCTAAGATATTCTGAGACATTATTTGTTTAGGAACACTTTTTCTTTTTAAGATCAGAAAATTGATTTTTTACGTCATTTTAGGTCTTAGGTTGAAACTAATAATTGTCTTAATTCTCAAATCTCTTGAATCTCTCTCATTGTAAAAGCTAAGCAAATTTATTTTTTTTTAATTATTTAAAAGTGGCGTAAATGATAAAAGTAAGGTTTTGTTCTTCAAAATCAGCAATAAAACACATTTTTAGATGTAGATTACTTAATAATCTAAAATACTATAAAAACTACACTCACGTTTTTATATGACGATTGATATACTGACAAAATTAGAAAATCGTCTACCTCGTCAATAGAAAATTAATTTAAAATGCGTTACAATTTCAAAATACTGATAAATAAATGTTTACTCAATGTTTACAACTCAACCTTACTTTATAAATGTTAATATTTTGCTTAAATATACACATTAATATCTAAATGTAAATTTACGGAATGTTAATACATCTTAACAAATTTGTTTATATTTATATGAAAATATGCATGTTATATTTTAACATCTGTTATTATATGACCATATGTGTTAAAAATAGTATGTTAAGATGTATAGATTAAAGACATGTCTCCTAAAGCATTACTGCAATTTATCAATCGGGACATAGAACCCCTTTGGCGTTCCATATTCAAAGCACATATGACAAACGATCAGTAGGTCGCATATATGCATACCAGTCGATAACGGTACAGGGATCCCATAAATGCTACCGGGTCGTACGTAGGCGGTTAGGAAGGTAGCGGCACAGTACCGCAACCACTAAGTATTGCATCAATCAAATTTCAGCAGATATTTGTCACCGGCGCTCACGCATGCATAAAGCCCCGGTTTTGGGCTTGGGATCTCGTTTCACAGCATGTTGCTAATGTGCGGCTACTGGACCGTAAGGGCTCTCACAATGGCCACTAACTTAGTGATTAGCCGTCGGTCATCCCGGTGTGCTATCCGCGTACAACGAGATCGTCGTCATCATCAGCGCTTCGTGGTCATCATCATTGTCCGATGATTAATTGGCGATTCGATTATTATGACCATGCTACGTTGTGCATATACGGGTCTCTCCATTTACTGTTAAGATAATGGCGTCGCGACGCCGACGTGATTCGAACTCAATGTCAACTTCTTGACGTGCTTGTATTATTTATTGCAACTGAATCGTGATTTATGTACCTTTCTGGTTTCAGATGAAAATAGGGACCTTAACGGACACCAGGATGACGATGTCAAAAGACAACGGACTCAATACAATGGGGATCAACTGTACTCTAATGTAGGAATAATTTGAATATTAATTAAATTCAATCTTAATTTTTTATAATATGTGTAGTTATGGTCGAGTAAATGGAGCATAAAAGATGAACACAAACTCTTATCGGAATTAGGAGGACCAGGTAATACACCTGGTCAATCAGGATATTATGACACCCATACGTTCCCCGGAGTAGGAGTTACCAGCACAGCTACCGATATTTACGATACGATTAACACGATGAGCCAAACTACCTCCCAGAATTTGTACACACCACCTCTTGCAGGCTCTTTAGGTAAGTTTTATATTTCATATTTTTCATTCGATACCCAAACCGTATCCGTTGTGTACATAAATGATATGAAAATCTAGGTACGAGTTCGCTTACTCCTCTTGCTCCTATAACAATGCACGAGATGAAAGTAGAAACATCCCGAATTTTGGAACCGACATTATCACCGTATCATACAGGTGAGAATTTCAGGGAAGGTGATGGACCGAATAGAAATCACAAATTTGAAGCACAAAAATTTCTACTTTACGCCACTGTACATTAAGCACTAAAAGTAGTATTAGTTGCCTAATAGATAAAGCTTTTGCATGTTTTATTGCTTACTTTTTTTTTTAGTTAAAAAATTTGATTTAAATTTTTTTAATTATTTTTGCACGCTAAATAAATACATAGTTATAGTAAATTAAATCTTTACCTTTAAAGATATAAAATGTGTTCATAAAATTAAATCATTAATTAAGTCTCATTAATTTAGAATTATCGACAAAAAATGTACCGCAAATTAAACATCTTGTTTGATAGAGCTTTCCATCTTATTCGACCTCAACATGGACCATCGTGCTTTATTACCGGCGAAGTTAATTTCAACGTTCTTTATATTTGAAATGGCGACGGGTACTACCGAGCTAATTACCACGATAATTAACCTTAACGAACGGCTCAGATTAATTGTGCATCTTATAGGAAATATGGCGGCATAATTAGCGGTCTACTTCGGACGTATCGGTTGACAATAAATAGTCGGACCGTCGGTAATTGAAATTTTATCTTTGTCGGTCTCGTTACGGGCCGCGTAATCGATAACTTAAACGCGGCGACCGTAATTACCGCATTACCAGGGACATATATTTAATACGTTTTAAATTTCGATTTAAACGTTTTAAAACGTATTTTACCCTATTGCGTGTTATATTCAATTGATGAAAATATTGAGTTTAATTACAAATTTGTATTATTTACTATGGATCAATTAAAAATCTATATCTAGGTCCGTAGATTATGTATGAAAAAATATCTAACCAATATAACTCTACAAACATATATTTAAACATAATTATGAAGTTTTTCAAGTCAAATATTCTGATTGACATAATAATACTGTTAGTTTCATATAAAAACAAGGTTATTTTTCTAAATTAGCACAGCATCAAGGAAATCATTATTATAACCTTTCATTTAATGTTATGGATTTAGTTAAAGGCATCGAAAGGTATACCATGCACCAAGTAGACTTCTTCTTGAGTAAAATCAAATTATACAAATGAATATAAAAAATATATCCGCCAACATGTTAGATGGACTTAGCATCCATTAACTCCACATTAGATGTTTATCATGCCTGCATGAAGAGTTGATATCTCTTCACCCACATAACTCCACAACTGTTTCTGTTAAGTCCTTCTCTAACAAGTTTCCATCAAAACTGCATCTAAAAGTGTATCAAGGTTCTTTCAATACTGCATATAATACCTGTTGAGGTCTACATCATTCTTCATTATGCCTTTGATTTGATAGACTTACGTTTGCATCAAATGTCCATCGGCATTATGCTCTCTATCAAGCTTAATTTACATTTGTGTCGTGTCCATATTAACTTTCTGTCATGCTTGCATCGAGTCAACTCCGTGTAGAGTGTTCATCTCTGCATCATATCACGACTGCAGCATATCTTTATCGGATATACATCGATACAGCATCTGTGAGTGCTTCAGGGCTCGTTTAAGATTATAAAAAAACCTTATTAAGATTATATCAAGTCATTGAACTTGAATCTCCACAATGCCCACACCAAACCTTCATAAAGTCTGCATAGAGTCTACATTATTTCTGAATCAAGTACTCGGTACGTTTCTAAAAGGTCAGGTCTGTATAGAGTGAAATGTCCATCAAGACTGCACCATATTTATATCGGGTGTATTAAAATTGCCTCTAAAACAGCATTAAAACGCTTGCAATGTTTCGTGATATCTTGATAGCTACGTGTAAAGTTTACATCATCTTTGAATTTGTATTTTAAAATCGGCTTGGTTACTGTCAAGCTGTGAAGTCCACAATTTGAAAAATTAACTTTTTCACCTTCTTTTCTAAATTTGACATACTAATAACTCAATTTTCATTATTTGAGCATTAATTTACAATATACTATAATATATAAACTTCTTAGAATCGTTTTGAAATGGTTCTGTAAATTGGTTCTATGGATGTTATAATAGCAAATTCTAAACACTGTCATGCCCAGTGTTAACATGCGCTTCACCAGGGCTTCATCCATATTAACTTATTTACTTAGCTATTTATATCTGTTACAGTGCATGTAATTGTTGTCTTGTTATTTGTTTTTATTTCAGTGTATTTTAACTAATACTAAAATTACAGGTAATTGATAGAACTTGAATAGTTATTCAATGGATGGGTTTTTCATACTTTACTAAAACACCTACTTTACCTGATCACTCAAGGGCATTTTATTGAACACAATATATTTTATTGAACACAATATATTTTATTGAATACCACTCTAATGCTTTGTAGCTGAGCTGTATGTAGATTTGTATGTATTACCTAGATGCTTTCTAAAGCTTTAAAACTCATATAACATGTAGATTACCATTTAAATTTTTTTTGTTATTAATGTTTTTTGAATGATTTAATTTTATTGTTATGTTTTTTTTGTTTTTTATTTTGCATGTATAGCAGAAAATAGTTCGCCGTACAGTGGCGTAGTAGGCCTAGGGACGACGGTAGACGGAGCGTCTCCAGGTTTACCTCTAACTTTATCCGCGGAGACCGGAAGTCAACCTGCCTCGAACACGGCGTCTCCGGATTCTGCCGGACTCACAGTCCTGCAGTCCTCGAACGGAGGCACGCAACATTATTCAACGATGCTTCCAAGTTTCGGGTATTCTACAGGTAGCTTATTTCTTTCTTCGAACCACTTTCATCAGCGATCATCAGCACTAAACGTTTCATCATCTAAACTTCTAAAGATAATAATAATTTTTAATGTTTTGTTTCAGCAGGAAGCGCCGTTGTACCTGGTACAGATTACACATACAGTACGGCATACAGTCAGTACGGTGCCGCCTATGGTTCCTATGGATATAGCGGTGCCACCAGCGGGTTGCTCAGTAAGTAAACAGTGAGTATATAACGACCTCAAACCTTTGATAATCACAAGAAGAACAACCTGGAGTGGACTACACTCAACTTTCTCTCATTCTTATGTGGCACTCATAGACTAACAAAACTATAACAAAATTGGCAGAGAATGTCGCAATAATGGAAATTTATTATAAAAAACGCAGTAATTTCAAAATACTCTTATAAGTATATTATGTTTTCACTTTCTCGCATATACATCATTTCTAAAAGATATTAATCTTTTGGAAAATATCCGAAAAGTTGGTCTTTGATACACAGCAATTTGATTTTGAGTTACAGAAGAATTATGACAAATTTTGTTGGATACGCAAAATAAATGAGTTCCTGAGTAAAATACAAATACTCATTTTGTAAGTCAAGGTTTAAGTTTTTCCAGTTGAATTTTTAACATCAAACAGTGAGAGAAATATATGGTTAAAATTTTTAACTTGTACCATTTTTTGCGATAATCCATTAAAGATCGCTTTTTGCAAACAAGTACCACATTATTCATATATAGAGTACACATGCTCTAGAGGCTCTAAATAATACGAATACCTTTAAAGAATAATCATAGATCTTGACCTGCTCCAGTGAGACTAATTTCATCCCAGTTGTTCTAACTTCCAGTGATTTACCACACGCCTCTAGACTCCAAATACGTCCATAGATATTTTAAGAATGCAACGAAAGTCTATTTGTGCCCCCGGATATCTCTTTGAACTATCGACCATTACACACGTTTTCAGTTTAGTTCAGCTGTTCGTGATTGTTCCAGTATGTTCTAGCTCATTCTTGGTCCACTTTGTTGACATATGTTGTCTTCTTCGATGAGATACTCTACATCTCCGTGCTTCCAGTGATTTATCATGGTCCCAGAGTCCAACCACGTTTGAACGTGGACTTTTCTATAATACAGGCGAAGGATTACGTCTCCTCTCTGGAGGTTCCTCGATTTCTATACCATTTCTTACGTTTCCCGAGTGACGTAGTACTTTGGCCATCCGGGATTGTTGCATTATCATCTAGCGTATCCAAGGAGGCCTCGGTAATTAAAAAGAATTATTAATTAAGAGAAGCTCTCAGACCATTAGGACACGTGTTGCCTCACCTGTTAGCAAACTCTGGCGAAATGGATGAACCAAAGCCATCTACCATATGTACGTTTCTGCAATATCGTCTATCCTTTACCCACAAAGAAGGGAATTGGATAACTACATTCCAGTTGTATGTGTGAGGGGCGTGTGGTTTGTAATGAATTAATTTTGGTAGATTACTTGTCACGTCGATCAAAAGACCTGCCATCCAGTTCATCAAAGCTTCGTTTATTAAAGCCGGTGTAGGAAGAGAAGATGAGTTTGAGTAACAATATGGACCTACTACTCGACGATTATAGTCATCGACAGGAAGACTGAGGAACTGTTTTGACCGTTTTTGCTTGAATTTTTCACTATGGTATTTGGTTATAAATGAGCAAATTACAGTTCGAATGGCAGTTAGAATTTACTTCGGTAGCAACCACCGGATAGAAAAATATTTTCTACCATCACTACTTCTTACACTGTTTTATGTTACAGCTTGATCAGTTTTATTTACATAGTCCATCTTATGGTCATTGGCAATTACAGTGTTAGGACATAGTACTTGGGCTTTACTATTATCCTTTTTCCATTCGGCCCACTTCACTTTTCTAAATAGTGATAGTTTGAAAGAATATAAATGGTTCTCTTTATATTTGATAATGGTAAGCCCAGAATCAATTGTGTACTATTGATTATCGGATGAGTCATTGTTTTGCCATTCGTAAAGTTAAGTAAATAAAACGAGTTTTCAAGTTTATTGTAATTAAAAGATGCACGTATGGACATGCCAAAGCTATCGTTTGCTAGCAACTGACCTAATAATCAGTTGAATCGTTTTATATCCATTTCAGATAAAATATAAGGATCATTGAGGTCAGACTGGTTCTATAACATCAGCTACAATAGATCTGTTATAAATAGACCAATTTGTAGCATTGTGAGCGGGAGTATAGTACTAATTCTTTTCATTGTCTTCGATAGTTTTGAGAACTGCCCAAACGTTTCTTATCTGTAGAAATATCTACTTCAAACCTGGGTGAGTGTAACCAACGCTGAATCTGTGACTACTATGTGTAGACTATTCCTCACTAGAGTCACTAGATAGGCTTTAGTGTGGTTTACAAATTGAGAAGGATGATAAGATATACACAGAATAATGTATTTTTGTGGCCAATTCGTTGAATATGATTTGAAACTAGAAAGTGTTTCCCGTTATTATCAAGGAAGGGTATCAACCCTGGTTACTTTAGAATTGTATAAACACGTCTAGGTTAAATATCCTTTTATAAAAAATTAATTCAGTCATCAAAATGAATTTATAAACATCTTGTGATCGAATTTTTGCACGATTACATTCACTCTTTTACTTCGTATATGCGAGAAAGTAAAAAAATCATAATGATACAAATAAAAGAAAAACTTTTTCCAGTCACTACTACAAGATTTATTGATTTAATTCTAAATATAAGTAATTTTTGATTTTTCTTTTTTAGATTCAGCATATTATTGTGCTCACAACGAGAACCCAGAAATTGTAAATGGAGCGTCTCCTATCGGACAGTGTGCGAATTCGGACCAAAGCAGTCGTTCTCCTTTGGCGGCGACAAGAGCAAATTCGTTAGCTTCCGCGAATTCGCCTACAGGTAGCGGTAGCGGTTGTCTAAAGGTCGAAGTAATTTTCAACAGTGATCTGAATATAGTCTAATTAAAATAACGAGTATTATTTATATACACTAACTATTTTCTGACGGACGTTTGTTGAAAAAACGCGCGTGGAAGTAAGTGAAGTGGAAAGAAATTTTTTCCACTTGTGAACGGTTTTTTGTTTCTTTACCTGTAGATAAGTAGTGTAAGTTTAAAGAAAAATTCGAGAATTAAACATGAAAATTTTTGGTCGTTCGAAAAAAGGAACCCGTAATACTTCGATATTAACACAAATAGATGACGCAATAGCTACGAGTAAAAATTTAAAAAAATATATAATTACTGATTTTTTATTAATTAATTATGATTATTATTTATTTTAGAAGAGATGCATTTCATAGAGAGTTGAGATTTTTTTTAATGATTTTTATAGATCTATATTATATTACTTTTTTTTTAGTTTCTAAGACTCACCAAAGAACTGTTTTATATTATTATTTATTAAAATCGCACGTCTTTATTATAACGATGTTTATAAATTTGTTTAACGTTACACTGTTACCGAACTATCATTGATTTTTATTTTCCTCGGATATGATTTTATAAAAATTAAATAATTTTCGACTTCTTAATGGCAGTGTAGCATTAAACCGAAGTGATTTGCAATTATTTGTACGATTAATTTTTTTTTAACAAATCTAATTTGTTATCTTAGTTTTACGACCTTCGTAGTTTCTACTGCACTAAAAGCAAAAAACAAAATGAATTTTACAAACTTTAAAACAAATTTCCCAGTGTATACTTTAAATAAAACAAAAAAAAAAGAAAAATCTGTCAGCTAGTCACAAGTATGTACTTAACTTACTTAAAAAACATAAAAAAATATCTACGACTTTGTGTTCTATATAAAAAATGATCATTTTGTGACGAATCATACTGCAAATTTTATAGAATCAACTTAAAATTGGCAGTTTGTTTCAAAATCAAAGCCTTACGGCATTTGTGAAAGTATTATTATTATTTAATGATAAAGAAAAAAAGATTATTGAAATCGATTAAAAATGGAGATTCGTGTAAGTTATTTTATCAAAATGTGTAATAATATACCAAAGAGACAGCTCAGTTATCAGGTTGTCGCGGTATTGTAAGTATTATTTGATTGTAAAATGTGATAGGCCCTCTAATTCAGGCCCCGTCTTGCCCTTAAATCTTCAAATCCTGTCACATTCACTCATAGATGTAAGCAGTTTATATTTAGTAACAATAAAATAAACTATGAAAAATCTATTTTTATTTTGTGTTTGTTTTTCATTTCTACCAAAAACTACTACATACTTAAAATCATTTTAATTGTTGGAAACCGTGTTTACCACAACAAGTTACGAGCCCAGGCACAACGGCCTAAATGTTAGAAATATGATAATTTGCGTCAAAATCAAATAAAGTGGACGATAATGCAACAGTCTTAAGGTGAATCAACCCAAGTAGCATAAAATGAAATAAAACAATTAACATTAAACAAAGACATCAAACGGAAAGAGAAAATAAGTAAAAGGTCCAAATATGAGTCACACAACCAGATGATATATGGTGTTTTCAGATAAAAATCTTCAAGGCAAAATATCTATATAAAACAGTGGATGGAACAATTTGGATGGATTTATGGACAAGACACAAACGAATTAAAATACAAGCTGTTACAAGAATTTTACCAATTGTAATACCAAAAGCATGCAGACATGACAAGCAACGTTGCAAAACTTGAAAATTTAACACATAAGTTAAAAAAATTAAAACAAGACATAACTGACAACATGAAAATAACAAAATTATTGCCGATATTTTCAGTAGAATACAAGCACTTCAGAAGCGAATGTGAATTATTAGCAAAAGGACAAAGAACGTTTACCAAATTAACAGCAAGTTTATTAAATGAGGAAATGTAAACAAAAGATGAAAATTATGTAGAACAAGTTGCATTCAAGGGCAACATAAAACAAAAAATGGACAAAAAAAAGAACTAACCGATAAAATTACTTGTTTTAAATGTGGTAAAGAGGGACATATCGCAAGGAATTACAGAAATAAAACATAATGATGCAATATGCAAAAAGGAGCAACCACGAGGAGAACAAATATAAAAATTTTCCTTCAGATATAAAAATGAGAAAAAAGATAGAATAGTTTAGTCTTCTCGCAACAAACGAAAAAATAATACGAATGAATAGATCGTAACTTATTCGGAAAATGATAAATATAAATGTCTCAGAACAGATAAATTCAAAGATTATGTTTGGCTAACGTGTGAAGAAGCTTTAGCGAAGTAAACACATTGATGTAAGATACCATTATATAATAATCTTATGTTGACTGATTAATATTTAGTGCGTGTCAGCGTGTTCAAAGTGTTATAATATGTTATAACAACAAGGTGTTATAACATATAATGTGGTGTTATAACAACAAAGTGTTATAACATATAATCAACGTAATTTTAAATTATTTTAGCATTGGAAAATATTACTAGTCGTTTCTCGCCGATATTGATCGAGATAAGGAATCCACATTTCTTCCCAAGTTTACGAAGTATAGCAAAACATTTTAACATTTGTAAAGTAAGGATCCATCTTAATAGCCTAACATCACTATTACTAACGTGTTTCAACCAAATCAAACGACAAAGATCTATTTCCAATTTCTTCAATTTATTTACTGCAAAATTATTGCAGCACATTCTAATTCGGTTGCACTGTAAGCTTGTTGTCTTTCAATTAGTTTTTGCTTAGGTACAGTACAGGATGTTCTTTATTGTTGTCATCACTTTGAGATAATGTAACTCCTATTCCTCTTCAATTACTTTGCACTATAAAAACCCTACGGTACACTGAGAGAAATAGATTGTACGAATCGTATTATAGAAAAAATATTAAACATGCAGCAATTCATTGTATTATATTCATTATATTTATTGTACTGAATACAATCTCGTCTCGCTGTCACTTTTCGTAGTAAACGTATTATACCTTATAGTATATTAATGCATAGTACAATCCATTTCTCTCAGTGTAATCACACGCCTTTAACACTTTATTATTACTTTAACTCCTATTTTAACTTATTTGCTTATGCTTATTGGCATTTTGTTTCTGTTCATCCCATTCAACCTGGACCAAAGCTCCTCATCGTAAATCGTCTGTTAAAGGATTAACGATTTCTCCATAATTTGGTATACAATGGTTATAATATTCAGTTATTCAAATCCACTTATGCTATTCAAATGCAATCTTGAATGAATGTTTGAGAAAGACGTTATGTTACATTTATAACATATTTTTATTTATTCATATTTTTGTAAGAACGATGTTCCTTAAACCTTTGTATATAGAGATATAGCGTTATATATAAATAATATTATTTATTTACTAATCAACTCTCTTAATATCATTAATATAATCACTAAGTAGATATATAATTAAAATTATAAAAGTTCAATGCATATCGCTCAAAAGTGACATTGTTTCTAAGAATCTTTGCATTGCTTAAAGCAATTTTATCTTCAAATAATTTACGACAAGTATTTGACGCTATAATTTCGTTTGGAAACTTGATTTTCTGTAACAAATATATTTATTTATCATATATATTTATTTATATGTATTTATTTTATAATACGCGATTTGCGTATTGCAATACCTATACTGTGATATTGGTTGCATATTTGCAATGATGACGTCGTGTACGATAATCAATTAACACACTGTATAGGAACGAGTTGTAAACACCTGTTGTAATGCTTTCAATTATAATTTCGATTGCTAGTCTCTTTATGTGTAATAATTCTACAACATATTTGAATTTATTTTTATTATACTAGGGTTACTGTTGATTAAATAATTAGGATGGTAACTAGTTGGTTATTATTCATATAAGTATAAACTCTGATGTGTTTACTTTAATAATGAACTACGACAACGTTGTGTCTGTATAGGTTTTAAATTTAAAATAAAAATGTGATACAGCATTATTGTCACAGGACGTTAAATGAAGAAGTAGGATTTATATGCAAAATAAGTAGACGATTATTACTTGTTACCTTGTCGACTATCTCTTAATTAGGAACATATTAAGATTGGATACTGGTGTTACAAACGGATGTAATTACTACACCGAGGAATTTAAAAAATATTAGTTTTTACATATTTTTGTGATTTTTGAGAAAAAGTTAAATGGAACGATATTACTTACTTGACAGATCGTTTAGTCACCATAAAGTTTGCTTAATTTTAGTGCAAACCACGCTTAGAGCTGGTTCAAAATTATTTTTGAGGTGTGTTTAAAGGCCACCGGACCAACAAAACATCAACAATGGGAATAAAACAAAATAAACGAAAACACGTAGAATTGCTCAAATTTTTGCCAAAAACAGGCATACAATTTCGGTGTTGCGGAATTTCTACATGTTTTGATTGAAATGCTATCTTGATTGATTTTCATAATTATCGCAGTAGTTTCTAAATTCAAAGGATGCATGCTTAGATGCAAACTTAGATGCAAACTTAGATGCAAACAAAATTCAGATAAACTCCCACTTACTTTTATCGTATTTACGTCAATGGTAAATACGAAATCTTTTTGCTAAAAATTCGTCATCAAATGCGCCACTTGGATAAGGACGCATTAAATGTTTATGTAAAGGAAGAGAATCATCTCGGACAAAAACGTGGGACAGAAGAGTGTTTTTACGCAGTTTCCTTTCGGTTGTTGAATTTGCAAACATTTCCATATCGCTATTTCTTCCTTGGGCGCCTACATAAATGGCGGTGAATTTACAAGCATTCACAAATGTAAGTAAAGCAATACTAATTGATTTCTTGTGCATAAAATGTTGTAAACCACTAATGGGGGGTTTGTCTATGACTATACGACTTCCTTCCTCTATAATTCAATGGCTAAAATTAAAATGTAAATAAAACACATAATCTAATTTAATATATTTAAGGACACTGAATTAAGTTAAACGTTTAGGGATGGAAGTGTAAGGAATTTAGTGTTTCCAAATTCGGTTTGCCGATAAAAAAACAAAACTATTATTAACCACAAAAAAAATAATTGCGGTATAGTATAGTTCTGATTCTCAATCTGTCTTATCGGGAATACACAAACATAAAACAAAAACAAGAAATTCTACTAATAATTAACAATACATCAAACTTAAATAACTGATTTCTGACAAGAGAAAAAAACTGACGTTAACATAACATCAGATCTCAACAATAACATTTCGGCGATATTTTGGAACCATGTTAGTGGAAATATTAATATTTGATTGACAAGATATTCAAAAAAGTAGTGTTAAAAGATATAGGCCCAATATAGTGGGAGTTCATACACGCTGTTGGGGAAGGTCAGTAAAGATGTCAGAAACGAATCTGAGGGATGCCGAAAAGAATGTTGGCGAAGGCGAATATAGAGG